TTTACCAGATTTGATTTCCGATGCTACAATCACCTAATCACTACTCCTTCTTTCTGCTCAAATTCTTTCTTCAGCAGCAGTTGACCTTTCACTGGCAAAATTTTTGAATCAACACAATGAATAGTGTTGCTGGAGACGATCTCGCTTGCACCGACGAAATCAAAGTGTATGAAGATGAAGGTGAAGAGGATGAACAAGTTAAATCATCAGAAAACCTGACTGAGGATAAGGTTGGCCTCGTTATTGAAAGCGAAGAACAGGTATTGCTCTTTTTACACTGCTGTATTACAGTTTATGGGTTAATTTCTGCAAATTTGGGTTTGTATTCTCTTGCTCCTTCCAAATTCACGATTTTACGCAGTCATATATGACTTCATGCTCCAAGTCATCTCAGTAAAATCGTTGCCATTTAAATACCACTTTCCACCCTTAACTACTCTAATTTCTTCTTATACTTATATGTTTGATGATGAAGTCTTCTTGAATATTTGCGGAATCAGTGCATCCGTGTTAAGTTGTAGTCCGCAGGCAGTTGCCTTCCCCGTAATTCGTTCAGCATGTTTATCGGTGTTTAAATTTTAAAAATTTTAAGTTTCGTCAAAGATAAGACATTTCTACTGGACATGGTAGGGCTAGTAATTTCAAACTCATCTAAGTGCATCCCTGATAGTGACATAATTGGCAGTTATAGGGGTCTTTTGTTCTTGTGTAAGCATACGTGAAGTATGAACTCATGACATTGTCCACATGGCCGCAATGCATGTTCCTACCGCCTACTTTCCTAGATAGTACAATTCATGGTTTCTTTCATCATATGGACGAGTCGGTGCCAAATTTATTTAGTCGTTTCCCCAAAAGTGTTATTGATGGAGGTGTTCTATGTGCAAACCAGCTTTTACAAGATCAAAAGTCGATGAATTGGGTAAGTAGTGTTCTGATCCCTGTTAGGTCCATCACTTTTGCACCACTTTCTCGACTCACCTTGGCCTTTCTTTCCTCTTCTGCATCCATCTGTCCCCACCCCCTCCGTTCATGTGTGTATGTGCGTGCACCATCCTCTGGTGACTCATTCACTCATGGCATTGCATATGACTATTTATTTTGCAAGCACTGCTCGCCTACTCTACTGTCCATTATTTGTTATGCCCTCTCGGGGCGGAATCGTGTGTCAGCGCTCCCCAAGTACTTAAGTGAAGTCACAGTCTCTAGCATTGAAAATATCGTATTATCTACATCCTTAACTATGTGTTTTGGAGTGTGTGCATGTGTATACATGTGTGCTTGACTGTGTCTGAAATTGGGGTCAAACATGCTTCCTGGAAGTACGCATTTTCACACATGGGATGATGGGTCTGGCTTCTTCCTCTCCAACTTCCCTCTCTCTATCCCTCTTATCTTCATTTTCCTACCTCCTTCCTTCCTGTCTCCACAAATGTGCATATTACTCCCCAGTGGGGTGCTGTTTTACCCCTGACGTTGGCCAATTTATCCATCCGGGAGAGAGAGCAAACAAAAGACATGCACCAATCCTTCACTCTTGTACTTTGGGCCTGATGGGGGGTACTTGTTAATTTATTCATGTGTGATCGCACACAGTGGATGACAGGTTTGGCACGCATTAGATAAATCACGTGCACTCGCACACTCAAGCACATCTGTTCAAGCAAAACTGACATTCAACTGTATTTGTGTGTGCTTGTCTACTCCCACTTGCTTGGCTACTTTTTATGCTCCGTCTAGATCCCTACTTCATTGGGGCGACCTACTGTCTATTATTAGTACACCAGTCATACGTCATGCGGTAACGCAACGCGGCACGTCGCGCACACTTTGTGTGAATGTCAATGCATTGTGCCCATACGTACTCTTTGCATTGCTTGTGGTTTTCATTCTTTCACATATCTCTTCACTCTTACTGCCTCATTGGCGCTAACTCTTGACAATGGTCGTCATGGTGCCGACTGTACTTCCGCCAGTGCTGTCATTGCTGCAGTTGCTGCTGACGCTGTTAATAGTGCGGCCGAGGAGATGCGCTCTCTCCACGCATGCACGCACACTCAATCATAAACATGACTCGTCCACTAACCCCGAGGGACAAACAAAAGGGAGCCTCCACCTCCCTCTGTCATATCCTTGGATTTCACCCTCCTCTCTTCATTCAAGTGAAAGGGCGTCAACGTGGAGTCTTTGCCACACTGATTATATCGGTGTTTATGCCTCTGTTGCCGTTGGCCTTCTCTCTCAATGGCCACCTTGTTTCTGCTCTATTTGTTTCACCCCAGTTTTGGCGTCAATGTTGTGGTTGAATTTCGCTATCCTAGAGGTAGGTAGACTTCTTTACTCAGCATTGGCACTAAAGTCAACATGCCAGGGGCATAATACACCCATTTTACGATCAAGTAGACGCGCGAAATCATTCAACCATCCATTTATCGTCATCTAACCTCACGAGTACTTGAAATTTGCCTTCTCAATATTTGTCCAATGCCACTACAACCGTGATTGAGAGAGATTTTAGTAGAACTGTGCACAAAAGACCACAATACTGCCATTGGAAACCGTGCTTCTCATATTTCAATAGTCTTGATATTTGTGCCTGTACCACCGTCATTGTTTTGGGTGGAAGAGATTTGGTAAATCCGGTTTCAAGCAGATCTCACGTCCCTTTTCCCACGCCCTACTTATCAAACCACAATTTTGTCAACTCTCATTGTCTCATTCCATCTTCTCAATTTGTAAATCTGCACAATCCACGTTGGCGATGCTACTGAAGTCATTGCAGACAGCGAAATGCACACCAACTATCTGAATTCATGTTGGTGTCATGGCAATAGTGTGGTTTCTAGTTTTTTTTTTTTGTGTGACAGTTGCGTGTGTTTGGATCCAATTACACAGCTCTTCGGTGTTTCGATTACACAATATCTACCGGTCTTCCCGTATTCTTCTCAATTTTCTCCACCTCCACCTCTCCCTCACCCCCTCTCCTCCTTTCCACCTCCGTATTGTGGTGAGACAGAACAAGTGGAGCAGATGCGACACTCAGGAGGACTTTCTATTGCCTCGTCTGCCCAGTCATTGGCATTCTCTTCCCACGGGGTCTTGGAATAACGTTGGCTCCAATGTCCCGGACTAAAAAAGCAACCATCCATCGTGTGGTTGGTCTGTGCTTGTCTCGGCCTTTGTAAACCTGAGCGCTCAAGTGGAACACAATTTATTCCATTGTTTATATTTTTACAGTACCCAAATTAGGATACTCAACGCCCCTCCAATTCCCGCTCTTCAGACAGGCATTCCATTTAATTTGACAGTTTTAAGCCGATCTTTTATCAGTCGCTTTTTTTTTTCATGTTGCAATTGTAGACTGTAGTCGGACTGTCAGCCAGACAATAAGTCGTTTCTAGGCAAGTCTATTTGCCGACATTGGAAAACTGAGTAGATGTAAGATTTTCAGACTGCTGCCTCGCCT